CTCGTCTGGGACCTGCCATGACTCCCCTGACTCCTCCCATGGCATGAGCCCGTGCTCTCCTCCCCCCTCCGCCTGCTTTCGGTCTTTCTCCGCTCCTGGGCTGTCAGATGGGATAAAACACACCCGGGCGTGTGGGGCTCGGCGCTGCCGCGAGGGAAAGGGGGGAGCGGCGGAGGCAACCGGTGACGGCCGTCGGCTCGCCCGGAGTCGAAGATGAGCTGGCGGTGGGCTCGCCAGAACCGGAACGGCGGCTCCTCCGTCCTGCTGCTGCTACTGCTGCTGCTCTGGCACTGCTGGGTCCGGCCGGCCGGCGCCGACAACGCCAGCCAGGCGTACTACACCGCCCTCATCAACGTGACGGTGCTGAGCCCCGAGCGGGGCGGCCCCACGCTGCTGAGGATCGACCGCGGCCGCTACGGGCAGGATTCCCCCAAAGTGGAGGTCAAGGGCCTGCTGGTGGCTCCCGTCCCCATCAACGGAGGTAACGCGTCCCTTGCAGCCCTCGGGTGCCTCCTTTATAGGGTGGTTGGCCTTTGTCTGAGCTTTCGGACTTTCCTAGAGAGCTCTGACAAAAGAGGAGGGAGAACTTGTCCAGAGGAAAATAATAATAAAAAAAATCCATGCTCTCAAGAGTGCTGGCTTTAATAACGGCTCTGCAAAGCATAATGTGTTTTCCAGCATGGATCCCAGTAGGCTGGTCGTATTGAGCGATGGAAGTGTTATTTCCAAACTAATGACAGAGAGTCTGTGGCGAGAGTTAACAGTATTTGGTTACAGCGTTGCCATGAATCTCAGAACAGCTGCATCGCTATCTGGCTGCGATAGGCATCTGGATGGCTTTTGCTGCTGCGTGAAATCATGATCGCTCAGGGTACGTTTCTTAAAAATGCTGTTTAAGCTGTCCATCAAGACTTGGAAGGACTGAAGCCATCAAGCTGGTACTCGTGGCCAGTCTAAAATGTGCTTGTTTGAGGGGTACTGAACACTGCTTTCAAATAAGTTTTCTTCTTATTAATTGAAGCTGTTGTGACAGATTGCTCTCTGACAGATGGTGGGGTTTATAGAGAATGCTAATTTAAACAAGTAAGATTATTACTTTGTGTATCACCTGCAACAAAACCAATAGCTTGGGTTATAACGGTGTGGTTTTAGTAGTATCTTATTTAGAAAACCTTTGACATTATCTAAACTGCCATCTTTAAGAAATGGACCACTTGATGGATCACAGTGGTCCCAACCTGTCTCCTGGACAGTAAACACCTGAATAATGCATTAAGTGAAATAATGTAGTCAGTTAAAACTAGAATCCAAGTGATGAATATTAAGAGGTTTTTAAAAGAATGAGAACGCAGAACTACTGTATTATTAAAAGCTCTTGAGAATTTACTAAATATTAAGATCAGGAAGATACTTAGCTGCTGCAGAACAAAATGCAGCCTGCTATAAGCTTCTATGAAGCAGACTGTGCATCAGCATGTGCTTGCCAGATTCATTGAAGCTTGGTTTCATTAGCTTTACAAGGTATTAACTAGAATATATTAATATAGCATATTTTGGGGTGGAAGGGGGAGGAAATTGGACGTCTACTGTAAAATGATTACCATTTGTACTTCAGATGCTACCTTCACTATGCTCTGAGTCAGCTATTGTCAAATATGCTCAGTCTTCCTTACTTCTGCTTCCTGGTATTCCTCACTTAAATGCACACACCCCGATGCCATATGGAATCAGGAGGCTGTCCTGAAAGTGTTAGGCATGTTAACACTGTTACTGCAAGTAGTATTTTTAGGGTTTTTAAAATTTTAATATATGCAAGGTATCAAACCACTTGATTTTTTTAGTAGCTGTATAATTTGTCAAGCAAAACTTCCGATATTACTTTCTAACCTGCTTCTGTAACTTTCTCTGCTTTCTTCTGATATGGTCTTCACTAAAGTGTGATTAAAACGTTGAGGGGGGCTGACAGCATTTTCATGGGAAGCTAATAATGGGAGAAGAGCTACATAAAATTCTGAACAGTCCATAAACAGCATTTTCATACCTTATTGCTAAGTATTATTATTAACAACTTCAGTGAAAAAGCACAGCAGGAATTGTGAAATTGCAGACCTCAGTTTCTGCAGTTTTGACATGCTGCCGTCAATAAAGCTTTGCCATCAGTTGTTGGATTCAGTTTTGTCCTTCTGTTTGTCAACAGAAGGCTGCTAAAGCAAACATGCAGCAGTTGTCGTCTTTTGAAGTTCTGAATCGTTCTATGTAGGTTGTTATATACTGTACATTTTCTTTTAATTTTGCTGAGGTGTGCTTCATGTGGCTTAAAAATATTTCATGTAGGTAGGAAAGATTGGAATATTTAACTCTTATAGTTAAGATGCTCTTGAACACTTAAGGGTCTTACGTTTATATTCCACTTTTTTATATCTAGATTTGATAAAAGATGATGCTGTCTTACTCAGGGTAATTGCTCTAATGCCTTTTTATCAGCCTGTTAATAGTGCTGTAGAACTTTCTTGCACAATATTTTTTTTTCTAACAGCTCGTAACATGACTAGCTAGTACCAGCCTCAGCTGTTAGAGCAGTAAATGCTCTACCCCAGTTCTCATGTGTCGTAAGACGAAAAGGACTCTACAACTGTTAACAACTGTGTTTGAAGATACCTTGACTTTGAAACTGCTTTGATGTCAGGCATTCACCCGTTCATGGGGTATCTCTTGAAATTTCCATGTGGGTGATCTGTTAGCACCTTGATGGTGTTGACAGGGGCATCCATGTTTTATAGCCGAAATGTCCTTAATGTCACAGTTTTTTGAATGCTGTGTTAAGATGCTTTATTCGTTGCCTGCAGGGAAATAAATTCATTTACTGATTCAAGATTTGGGGCCAGTGATCTGCTGCTGAGCATACACCATTTGGAATAGCACAGCCTGTGATTTTAAGTGTTGTCCTCTGCGGTGGTTTTTGTTAACTTGTGTTCTTGAATATGCCCAATATTTTATATACTACTTTTTGAAGTTGCCAGTCCCGTGTGATTACCCATCCTTTAAATCTCAGTGCAGAATGATATATTCAATCACTTCTCCTGTCTCTTTAGCAGAATTTTTTTAATTGAATTCAACCCTGTCATGTTAATACATGTATTAAAACTCTTTCCCTGTTCTTTTTATAGACCCTTGTATGAAATTGATACTGGCTTTCAAAAGCAATGTTCCCCTGGAAGTGGTATGACAGTAATTTGCATGACCGCTTGTGAATGTGACTCCTGAAAGTGTAGCTCCAGCAAGCTGTGGGTCACAGTTGGCTGCTGGATGTAAATACAGCACCTGTGTGTGTGGATCTTTCCAAGTGTGTTAAATGCACAATAGTAGCGGAGTTTCTCTTTTAATCTCTCTTCCCTTCTTGCGCTTCAGGTTCCTTTTCTTTCTTCCTCTAACTTGTTAATCTTTTGTGATGACCTAAATAATTTCTTACTAGAAGAGCGTTTTAAACAGCTTCTGGATATTAGTGCTTGCAGGTAATCAAAAAATACTCTTCTCCTGAATGGAAGGATGATAACAAAATGCATCTTCACAGCCTGCTGCAGCTGTTCTGATAGTTTAGTTCAGGTTTATATCATCTTTTCAGTGAGGTTACTGAGCACTTCTTATTCAGTCTTGTCATCAGTTATTTGTGACTTCCTGGAACCAGGCATTTCAGCCCAAACATTTCACAGTAGCTGCCTAGGTATTCATGGCAGTGCCTGTACATGCACTGTGTAAGTGTTCAGCCCTGTGCTCCTTTAGTGACCTCTGCTTTTAAGCATCTTTAGTATTAAGTGCCTGACATCAGTTGTGATGCTGACCTTTACATGGCAGACATGTTCCTCTTTCTTTGACGAACCAAGATAGAAGCCATTGAAAACTCGGTCCTTGGTAGAAACTGTTTTGTGGCTTAGTTTCCTGAAAAATGTTCTCCATGGTGAACAGGAATCTTCTGCAACTCATGAGCCTGGGTTATTGCATGTCATTCTGGGTTTGGACACACAGTTGAGGACTAGAAACATCAGTTCTGTGTGCTCTCAAAGTCCCTTATAGAAGGTTGGACCTTGCGAGGAGGTGAGGATTTGTGCACCTGGCTTGGGTAGCAGGGAAGCAGGTAGGGTGATAAGGACTGGACATGGGACTGATAGGAAGTGAAATAGCATCAGACTCAAAGCCAAACTTGAAAACGTTAAGACTCACTGAGCCAATATGTCAGGAACAAGGGAGTGAGGTGAGGGATGGAAAGGCATCAGAGTCCAGAGAGCGTGTGGGGAGGGTGATGGTTGTATGAAAGCTGCGATGGAGAAAGAACTTGTAGAAAGGGGAGATCTCTGCTGATGGGGTAGTAGGGTTGTGACTGGGCAAGGAGACTAAAAATTTGAGGAAAAACATATGTTAGAAAAAGGTGGAAGTGGGGAAGAAACAATATTGGCACAGTGTTAGGAATGGAGGTATGTCTTGGCATGGTACTGTAACTATAGGATTCTGTAGCATCTGACACTTCATAAACATGTTGTGTGAACAAGTTTTGGCTGCAGAAGGCTTAAAATGCCGGTTTCCTGGTAACTGCAGAGCTTTAGGTAAGATTCAGACAGAATCTTGTGTTCCTTTCTGGCCCAGAATCCAAAATGGTAAGCTTTAGGAAAATGCAAGAAAGCAAATACATCAGTAGACTAGCAGAAGGAAAATCTTGTGCCATGTATCCATCCTTTACCATTGGTCTCAGTATCCAACTTAATTAGTAGTCCTTAATTGATAACAAAAGTGGAGGTTATATATTGGAGTTTACAGCCATAATTGTAGTATACTTACTGAACTAACAAGATTAAATCTGGACTATTACAGGATTCTTCTAAGCTTCAGTGATTTTTCTTTTGTTTAACTTCTTCCCTGAAACAGGATTACGTCTTGTTCAAAGAGTTTCTTTCAGTGTTAAAGCCAGCTTTAGTCAAAGCAATTACCTGAAATAGCTGTTGAAAGTAAAATACCGCTGTACATAACTCGCTGACACAACTTTTTAAAAGTGGCTTGAAAAAAGAGTATATTGATAGTAACACAAGCAGTAATGTGTTGAAAGAAAAGATATATATTGTGTGTATTGAACCCTAATGGGATAGCAAATAACTAGTACTCTTCCTTGAATAAGAATCAATCAGTGCTGCTGTTGCTTCTGTGAATTTCCCAGCTGAATTGCTTTTCTGTAAATTTTATCACAGGATTATAATTAATAGGTTGCACAAGGCTGGCTGTTCTGCCGGTCAGGTGTGCTAGGTAGCACCTGCCTGGGCAGTGCCTGCTGGAGGGAGGGAAAGCTTTCGGGCCCAGGCTGCATGGCACTGCATCTTCCCATGTGCTGTTTTCTTTTCCAACAAGTCTCTCCAGATCTGCTGGTGGTGTCTCTCCACCTATTATATTACAGTGATTGAAAGCCAGACTAAAATGATTTCTGTACATGTAGCTGAGACAGAGCAGCTCTGGCAACTAGTGCTGGCCCCAGAGTAGAGTATTAGGTAAGATGCAATCAATATCAAGATATCTGACCTTTAAAAAAAAAAAAGGAGGAATCAAATAGTTAATGCCCAGGGTGTGGGATCATGACACTGGCCTTTTTCTGTGAAAAGGGGACAAAGTCAATGTAGCAACCTTGGCTGAAGTGGGACGTCACAGCTGCATCCTAAGCAATGCAAGAGCAACATAAATGGGCAGTATGTGAGGGAAAGCAAACCCAGTCACAGTTCAGAAGTAAGAGACAGTCTGCGTTCAGTCAGGTGTGTACTTCTGATAAAGCCTCTGACAGTTGACCTGTTAATTTCATTTTTGCTTCCACAGAATGGCTATCCCTCTCATAGAGGGAAGGCTAAAGGACAAGCAGTTGAAAAAGATGAGGAGGAAAGTACTGTTGTGGTGCCAACGTGACCTTGCCAATACTTCTGCAGTAGTTGAGGAAACCTGATTGGATCTCTTGCATTATTAACTGTTTCTTTCACACGAATCCCTAAAATGCTGTCACAAACATTAGTCCTTCAGCAAGAAGGGCTCTTGAATTTAAAAAAATGCTTAAGGAGAAACAGTTATATGTAGGTTGAGCAGTCCTGTGTCTCATGCAAGGGGGAACTGAAGCTCTCCAAAAGTTGAAAACAAATGTGCAGCCTAATGGTAGATACTTAAATTGCAGCTGATCCTTCTGTAAAGAGGAAGATAGGAAGGGAGATATTTACAACAATATTGTACATAGCTCTTTAACCCAGCAGGCTGCCACTTCTAACAGAAAATTGTTCTTTGCCAACACATCCATGGTGCATAGGTAGACATTGAGAAAGGAAAGGTGGAGTAAATAACTTGTAGTTGAAGTAAGCCAGAAGTGTAGCACACCTGTAGTGAAACACGTATATGGCTTTCTGTATGCTTATATCTTCTGAAATGATGAAATTACATGAGTGATTTCTGATCGTATCTCTTTATGTGTAAGTGATTTGGTTTAGAATAACTTTAATTAAATGGGAAGTTGCTTTTCATTCTGATGTGGACATCATCCAGGTAGTATTTGCAGGCCCTAGTCTTTTAGATCCTAATTGGACTTTGGACAACGGAGCATAGATGGCATGATAATGGAGAGCTATCGGTGATGATTCTTGCTGACGCTGTGTCCCTTACAATGCCAAGTGGTGTGCTTGGCACGTTAGGTGTACAGCAGATGTTTTATTTTAGCCAGCTTCTTAGAAAGGTGACTGTGATAAGACCTTCACTCTTTTCAGAGCATATTAAGTCTGTTGAAAAGATCAGCAGGAGAACTCAGACTTTCCCATATTGTTCCTGAATTTTATTTAGTTAAAAGTGAAAAGATTACTTAGCATCAAATTACACTACAAAAATGTTAATGTAAAGAAAAGTGGGTTGTGACTTTTCATTAAATCTGAAGTGACTTGCAGTTACTCTATTCAGGTTTATCTAAACCAACCAGATTTTCCTTAATGTTTTTCTATTAAATAGTGCTAAAATAATATTGTTGGCTGTTAAATTTTCATCAGGACATACTGAATCCACCTGGTCAGGAATAACATGATGTATGCATTTGAGTGGTGTTTGTTGGTCTATATCTGGAAAGCTTTTATCTCTTTATCTTATTTCCTAATCTTGTTGCTCTATCCAGTAACATTTCATAGCCCTGTCCACGGCTGAGAGACTTTGATCTCAGCCATGGTAGAAAATTTTGTACTACTTTTTCCACAGATGAAGTTTCTGTTATCTCTTACTACTTCCTCTGTCGGTTTTTAAGCTAAAAATTTCAAGCTGTACAAATTCAAAGGTGCCTACATAAATTTTTGTGAAACTGAACTATATAACAGACTTCTGAGAATGCTGCCTCCCTTTTCAAGGTGCCTTTTGCCTTTATTGCTTTTATGGTTTTTCATTCTAATAGCCCATCACCTTATTTTTGTGTCCTTTTTTGTTTTCACTTGGTATTTTAGTTTTGAGCATGATTGTACTGAAGCAAACTGCACATAATCTGCTCTTCATCCATCCCATATTATTTTAAGTAAATTTATGTTGGCCATAGCGTCTACTTTCAGAGTTGGTTTTGGCAGTTTAAGGAGATTCTGTGGATTTATGGCCATGGTGTTTTCTAAAGGATGTACCTGAGATTCTTGAATATGATTTCACTGGAGAAGGATGGGATTTTTAGCTTTCAGGTTTTGGGAAACTTCCTGTCATAGTCTGCTAGTGCTTTTCCCCTCCCTCATTTTTAAGTGTAAAACTGAGGAGGGAGGAGGTGTGCTTTTGTCTTAACAGAGGACTTTGAGGTGGGTTGCACATGTGCCATGTTATGGTTCTATTGCGTTTTCAAAAAGGAATAAAATTCCTTTTAAAATAATCGTACTGTTCTCTTAAATTTAAGACTACAAAGACAAGCTACAAACGTGCAGTTGATGTGAAAGTACATTCCTGTGATCATTGCTGTTCATGACAGCCAGCACCAGTGCTCCAAAATGTGTGTGGATCAGTGCTAGCGAGCAATTTCCAAAGGGATCTGAGTAATAATGTTAGGGTAATGGAGGAAAATGCTCTATAAAATTGAGCTTTGGGCATCTACATTTTAGATTTTCCCAGATCCCGGTATAAAACAAAAGCACAAATACAAAAACACAGTAAATAGCCCTCCGTGTCTGAAATGTCTTAATACAACCTTGCAAAACAATTGTGAAAAGGATGTGCTTGTATCTGGCTCCCCACCCTTCTTCCAGGGGAACAGGGAGAGGCGTTTCTTGTCCAAATTAGAGATGCAATGACTTCCTGTAAGGTTGCCACAATATAGATTCATCTGCACTAGTTTTTTTTTAGGCAAGCAAAAGATTTTCTTCCTTGTTTCAGAAAAGATCCTTTAGCTGTTTGAATGTCCTTTGTTAGAGGTTTTAACCTGAGCTATGTTAAGCCTAGACTGCTTAAAGACATCTTTTGTTTTGTTTCCAGCTGATGTTAAACTGGTTATTTTTTTGTGGTAGATCTTGTGCTTAAATCCCATAGTCGGTGCTGAAAAACTCACTGCTTTAAAAGCAGAATTTTATGGGACACTTCATTTCAATTGCTCTGTAATGTTGTCAGAGCTATTATGCAAATAAATTTTTTGTTCATGTCTTGAAAAATCACTGTTTATCCTAACTATTTTTAGTAGCCAAAGATTCTTATACTCTTGGCATTTGAAAGGGTAAATATATTTGTATTATAAGTCGCTGTTGGCTCTACATTTCTAAAATCCTTTAATGATGTGACCAATGTATCAGACTAAACTCTGTTTCCAGTTGTGTAAACAGAAACGTCTTTTATCCGTTTCAGCTGCTGCACTGTGAAGTTATCATCTGTGTTGCATTTTGTGCCTTTTGTACATAGCTCTGTGTGGGTTTGGGCTGTTCCAGGATACGTTATGGCATCAGAAGGGACAAAAGAGCTTTGCATGCTGTTGAGTTCGGACATCTGGCATTTGCCATTTCTGTTACTCTTCCTTTATATTATCAATACCTGTTCAGCTGACAACTTGAGTGTCGTGTTTGCAAAACCATTTGTTTTTTTCTATGAGTTTGAATGCACTTCCTTGCAGGCAAAATGTACATACATAAAAAGCTGATGTTGGCTGCTGGGGTTTTACTAGATCAGCTTTTAATATTGTCCTTTTTTGCAGTAGCCTGCACGTGGCAGATAACTTTGAAATCTTTTTTTTCACAACCTCCTTTGTTCAGTTATACTTCCCACTGCAATGATATTTATGCCTGTATTAGAAAGGAAGAAAGTTATACTCCCCAGAATGGTTGATAAACAGCTGTTTTGTAAATGCCTATAAGCATATGAACCATATTCTAGTGTTTTTCAGCCTCTAGGCAGGTATTGATTCAAATGTGAATTCATTGTTCTAGCTGCACTAGAGTTAAAAATAGCTTTTGTTAGTGAGCCTGATTCTTGGGCATATAGTCACAGCTTTCAGTGTGCAGGACGTGGGTTTTTTTAAAGACATTTTTTCATAAGAATGCTGTTAGCTTTAGGCTTTATTAACAAAAGGATGGTGGCTTCTTAGTGTGTAATAGTTAAGTAATTCAGCAAAACTTGGGAGTTAGATTTTTTTTTTTTCCTGTTTGAACAAATTGCCATCTGTGTAAATTTATTTCCCATTCCAGTTGCAGATCGTCTGGGCTGTGACCCTCGAACACGTTTCCAAGTTCCACCAAACACCAAGCAGTGGATTGCTTTACTACAGAGAGGAAACTGTACATTTAGAGAGAAAATACTGCGAGCAGCTTCACATAATGCCACAGCTGTGGTCATTTACAACAATATATCCAGTGAAGAACCTGTCACAATGACTCATCAAGGTAAATAAAACATAATCTCTTTCACTATAATTCTTTTTTGTCCAAGTACTCTTTTGCCATATAAACTGTTGCTGAAGAGCACTTGGCAGTGCATGGATGCTATTTGAAACAGCCTGTTCTCTAATGATGTTTACAGGTATGTAATAGTGAAATAAGTCAATCATTCTGAAAAGTTATTTTCCTTTAGCATACATTTTATGCAACGAGGAACACTTTCCTGTGCAGTGGGAATATCACTGTTTTGGAGTGACAAAATCTTCATGGTTTTAGGAGCAATCAGTTTCAAACCTTTCTGAAGAAGAAAAGCTAATGTATAAAGCATCTATAACTGAGGAATCTTTATAGTAGCATGTCTTGAACTGGCTGTTATGGTGGGGAATTTCAGATGTTAACTGGATCTGAGTTTGCATGCTTTTTTAATGACAGTTTACAGAGGGTTCTCTTTTTACGATGTGTCAGAGTGCCATACCATTCCATGAGTAATCAACAAAACTCTAGTGATTTGGAGAGCAGTTACATCTGTAACTTGTCTAGAATAATGCTGAAAATCTGGATTTCTGTGGATTTCTACAGATTTCTACTTTAGGGCTGTGTAAAATTTCACTGTAACTAGTGAGTTAGTTTAGTCTGTGGGAGCCTCATACGTAAACGTTTTCCTTGGTTAAAAATTATTTTCACAATTCTGATGACTACATTTTTTTGTTTTCCCAGAAGATTTTCTCAATTTGGAATTACTTAGCTTAATCAGAAAAGGCCTATTTCTATATTTGATGGCTGTACTGTTGACTCCCCCCCCCCCC